TTGATTTAAGCTTAAATCTGATTGAATCAAGAGTATTTTTTCTTGTCGATGTTTTTAAGAGTCTGGACTCTAGATCCAATGTGTTTTTTTTCCAGTGTGGAGTTCTGAAGGACAGCCAAAATAAATCAAAATTAACATGTGCGTATTAGGTCACGTTAGGTTTAAATCGAGATAAAGAAGTTTGAATTTTCCTACCACCATAAAAACTCTAAATACAGGATTAAAGAGAAAGAGATTACAAGAACAAATACTCTTGATTGAATCGGATTTTTGCTTGAATTAAAAGGAAATCCGCTTAAATTAAGAGGCTTGGTTCTTGATTTAAGCTAGATTCTGATTGGATCAAGAGTACTTTTTCTTGTCGATGTTTTTAAGAGTCTGGACTCTAGATCCTATGTGTTTTTTTTTCCCAGTGTACAGACCAAAAAATCATTTCTCAATGAAGTCTCGACAAATTCTGAGAAAAGGAATCATGAGATTAAATGAGTCATGTACTTCTATTTTACGTTTTTTGTTCAATTAAAGGCATTAATCAAAATTTCTGGGCAAAAACGATGACTGACTTCAGTACAAAAAAATAATCCGAAGGCAAGCATGTAGCCGTAAACCTCATATATAGTGACCATTTTAGTGAAAACATTAAATAGGTGGGAGAACTTCAAACTCCCATTGAGATTTAGTTTGTAAGTAATTTTCTGTAATGTATGGATGAGAGTATGAATGAAGTGCGAAAAGAAGAATGTCATCAGTAATTTAACTAGTGCACCTGTGTTTTTAACTTTTCCAAATAATATACAGAGAAATTCATAATTCCTGTTCATTTAGATAACTGTATTGTCTAACGTTACTTTCATTTAATTTTAGTAAATAGAGACGAGACATGTCTTTGTAATTACGTTATTTTTAAATAAAATTTGTTTTAAAACATGTTTTTTGAAGAATTTGGCAACAACGCGATCCGTGTGACCTTTACTTTAGCCTACCTTAAAATAAAACCCATTTAGGCATGAGAGGACGCAAATTGCACCTGTGCGTTCAGAATCATACGCTGTGTGAAATATCAACAATAAAACATGACGTGAAAGTATTCGCACGCAAGGAGAGTAGAAGCACCAGATTCCGTTGATGCGCACGATTTTCTTTGAGCCTAGGTGCAGATAAGAGTGAACTGTACATACAAGTGGTTTTCATGCAGTTCAGGAACTTGAATTCTGCGAGCATCGTTTCCTTTTATTTCCTACAAAAAATAAATATATTTGACCTATTATTACTGTGCGAAAATTAACGCGAATATTTCTCCTCCCTGAAATTCAGTTCACGTGAGTACTATCAATCCACTCATGATACATATTTTAATTACAAGAGGATCCTCATTATGGCCATTGCTGAGGTTTTGATCGAGTTTAGCAGAGAATAACACATTCTTTTTCGTTTAAAAAAAATGTCTAATTTCCTCTGAAGTTTCGTTTAAAGACAAGAAATCGATAAGCAAAGACACTTGAGTTTTGTGAACTTTATTTTTCATAATATGGCCTTATACGTATAGTGTCGGCCTTTTATGGTGTAGTGGCTTAAGCGCTTCCCTATGATCCAGTGGCGTGGCGTGAATTGCGATACATCGATTGTTTTGCCATTTAAACCTACGGTAAAGAATCGATTATTAAGGTGTTCGCTGCGAACACCCTGTTTATCGATCCTTTTCCATAGGTTTAAATGGCATAACAATCTATGTATCGCAATTCACGCCACGCCACTGCTACGATCGGGAGGTCCCGGGCCCGATTCTCGGCCAGGTGACCCGAGTTTGATGGTCTCAAACAACAAGTTACTAAAGAATTTGTTTTCAACTTCATTTTTAGTAAACGAAGGGACGGAAAGTACTGATCAAAAACTTAAAATTTCACGTAAGAGACTCTACCTCCCGTAGGTCCTTCTTTAGCTTAACTTGTCCCTCAAACTTCCCTTCATGGAGCGCTTAAACCAATCTTGCACGAGGTAAAAAAATTATAAAATCCAGCGCTGGACGTAGAAAATCGGTGTTCGGATGCATCTCATTTCCTTTTGCCAATCTGTAAGCTTGAACCTGTAGAACACGATTCTGTGATTAAAGCAACCGACCTATTATTCGATTGACTACCTGACGGCTAAGGAAAAACGGCGTATGAACATTCGAATGTTGCCAGATTTCCTCTCAAATAATATTTATTTTTGAAGAGAGTTGCAATTTTTTTTTTTTTTTTTTAAATTCTCAGACACTTTGGATCCATTAGGTCCGTTTGATAGAAATACGTCCAATTTACGAATAAAACCCTCTGAAAAATCGGAGAATAAATACTCCCAAATATTCCTGAAAATTCTTGATTTGTCGCAGGAAATTTGGCAACGCCTGATCGCTCATACGACGTTTTTCCCTAGCACGGCAGCACACAGAATCATTTTCCTAAGAACTGAAGATGCACTTTAATAGTTCACTTGGACTGCATTTTGCAAAAAAGAACCAAGATAGCATTCCAATGTTGTTAGGATTGTGCAACTTGCAGTCATTTACAATTAAGTTACTGAAATCACGCAAAAAATTAAAATTACAAAGGTGGTTTTCGTCTTGAATTTGTAGCTCATCGGGGGTAAAGATTAATTTTGTTTAGATGATCAGTTATATTTCCAAGGTAAAAAAGGTTGCACGATCTTGGCGACATTGGAATGCTCTTGGTTGCATTCTCCAAAACGCAATCTACTCGATGTTGTAGTGTCCTCAACCGGGATTCGACCAGATGATTTTCGGGGTGATCACAGCGATGTCTACGGTTGTAAGCTTCGTGAGTGAAGTCAGTAGCACGTACTACATTGAGATGGCCCCGGGAAACTTGCTTGACGATGATAATCGAAGGCGGGTTACAGTAAGGGGGCTTCGTCAACTGGAACCTGGGTTCTACTCGTGCAACAACAAGGAGGAAGATAATGGATGGGTGAGCATCTGTCAACCTAGAAATAATGGAGATGTTGCATGTGTGAGGAATTTGCGATTTGACTGTTGATTCTTAGGTAAAAGTTTGCGAGAAACACGATGGTGCCGCTGGTTTTCTCTGAAATCATCTCCAAAGCTGAAAAAAATCTCTCAAAGTGAGGCCAAAATGGAGGGGTTATCCCACCCTACCCTGATTTCCGCGACCTTTAAGTTGATTCTTGACTTGAGTTCCTATTCAGTTATATTTGTTACAGCTTGTTTGCTTTGATTTTTGCTATAGAAATGACCCATCGCTAAGTATAATCTTAGCTTCGGCACTTTTAAATTATAGTGTCAGAGCTGCAATAGCGACAAAGAAAAACCGGCAACGCCAGCGTCGAGGCTACTTCCAAATCAATCATCCATCGTATTGCCACGGCGCAAAGATACAACTATTCGTCTTCTTCGGAATGCGTGAGGTATCACACCACAATTGAAGGCGTTTTGGAATCTGCCAACTTTCCATGGCGGGTTTCTTGTGTTACATAATTAGGGTGTCTACTAAAACTGGCTGACACGCATCAAGCACTATTATAATACTTTTTCAGTACCTCATAAGCAGAAAAATTCAGTACTTCTTCGGTACCGTTGGGTGATAAAATTATTTGACCATCGCATTGCCACGGCGCAAAGATACAACTATTCGTACTCTTCGGAATGCGTAAGGTATCACATCACAATTGAAGGCGTTTTGGAAACCGCTGACTTCCCATACAGGGATTCTTGTATCACCTGGAATGGGTGTCTACTAAAATTGGCTGACAAGTATCAAGTACTTTGAAAGAGCCTTAACAGGGTATTCCGGTTGCCATTTCATAACATGTTTCCAGTTTTAATCCTCTGCATTCTAGTTTAACCACAGACATGCAACCGAGGTCATGCATGCGTCGTCTCTGAACATTTAATCTTAATAGTGACTTTCTTATGGCCATTCTTTCACTCTCAAATACCTAAACAGGTAGATTTCCAAACGCGGCTCAGGTCTGCCCCCGATTAAGTCAAAAAGATCGTAGGAAATGAAATTTTTTGTGCCTCGAAAACGAGAAACTGACGGCTCTTGGAAATTCTGGAAAATTTTCAGTATTACTGTGTTACAATCTGATTCATACAACAATGTCCTCTTGACATGGATTAATATACATTTAAAAACATTAATCTGATCTTTCAGCAGTATTGGTGTAGATTTTAAAAATTGCAATTCACATCTAATTAAGAATGAAATATATGAGGGTTTTTTTTTTGCAGAGGAACTCGGGGAGATATTTCAATGGAGATGTTGCATGTGTGAGGAATTTGCGATTTGACGGTTGATTTTTATGTAAAAGTTTGTGAGAAACACGATGGTGCCACTGGTTTTCTCTGAAATCAACTCCCAAGCTCAATAGGGAGCAAATTAGCCGTGTTTTCAGTTGTGGAGTCCCCAAATAAAGTGGCAGTCCTATCAATATTGTATTTGCTCCCTGTCTTTGCATGGATAGTTTGTTTTGATGTAGAAATGGACTCTCAGAAAAGCGTGGGATATCCCCTTCATTTTGGCCTCAACTTGAGAGTTTTTTTTTGAGCTTGGGAGTTGATTTCAGAGAAAACCAGTGGCACCATCGTGTTTCTCGCGAACTTTTACATAAGAATCAATGGTCAAATCGCAAATTCCCTACACATGCAACAACATCTCCAATATCTCTGTTCTATTATGGGGAGTCATGAGTCCTTATGAAATTTTTTCTTCGAGGAAACTAGCTGGCATTTCCTCTTGAAATTGCCAGCCAAACGCCAGGGTTATTTTCGTTTTACTTCCTGACCAAACTTGTGTAATAAAATTTCTCTCTGTGAAAATCTGATGAAAAAAAAAGTTTTCACCAAAAATGAGCTCGGGAGTTGATTTCAGAGAAAACCAGTGGCACCATCGCGTTTCTCGCGAACTTTTACACGAGAATCAACAGTCAAATCGCAAATTCCTCACACATGCAACATCTCCATTGCACATAGTTCCATTTAGCATAAATACGTCCATTTCTTATGCAGCTTGCACGCGAACACCCCATATTTCCACTTGCACAAAGTTCCTTTTACCATGAATACGTCCACTTGACGGTTGCAGACGTTGATGGAGTGTCAGGACGTCGGGTTCCGCCTGGCCGACGAGATCTACGCTAAGACGACCTTCTTCACGGCCTACAGACCCTCCCTCCGGATCGGGCAAATGCTCCAACTGAACGGCAAAGACGTGATCGAACCGCCGACCACAATGCCCATCGGCTTCCCGCTAGGTGACGACCTCACGCCCGATTCCCCGCGGATTATGCCCTTCGTCGAGGACCTGGACCCTCTTCACCACGAGATCGACGTCTTCGTCGCCAACGGCTGCCTTCCCGATGACGGCGGTGCCGTCGCTGCGCTTCGGGAGTACGTCACATGTAACGACGTCATGCTCTGCATCTTCGCCGACCCCGCGCACACCGTCAATGATCTGCTCCCGGTTGTTGGAGGAGCTTTGGACAGGGTGAGGAGGATTCACGGAGAGCAGCACAAGTGGAGTGGCAGGGTAAGTGGAGAGTTTTTTTTCTTGGACAGGCAAAAAGGATGTGTCCCATTAAGGTCGGTATTTTGGCCCTAACTTTGGTCGAAAATTGAAACAGCTTAGAATATTGTCGATTGCATTTTGCAAAAAGGAACCACTAGCATTGCAATGATGCTAAGATTGTGCAACTTCATCTTTTGCAATAAAATTGCGGAAATCGTGAAAAACGATGAAATTTGGATGGTAATTTTTGTCTTAAATTTACAGTTTTTAGCGAGTAAAATAGAAACTATTAATGGTTAATCGGGGTTGTCCTCCAAGACAAAAGAAGTTGCACAATCTTAGCAACATTGCAATGCTTGTGGTTCCTTTTTACAAAATGCAAACCACATGTAACGACATTATGCTCTGCATCTTCGCCGACCCCGCGCACACCGTCAACGATCTGCTCCCGGTTGTTGGGGGAGCTTTGGACAGGGTGAGGAGGATCCACGTAGAGCAGCACAAATGGAGTGGCAGGGTAAGTGGAGAGTTTTAAGCGCTCAGCCTGATAGGCAGCGCTTTTTGATTTCGACTTGCCTCTGAGTACTAGTACACTATTGAGTCCCTTTATACTGAGAGTCAAGACAACACCCCTCATGGAGTCATAAACGGGAATAAAGATTACAGAAATTGAACGTTTTTCATGATCTTTGATCGGCCCATTCTCGAATTCCTTTCTCCGTTCCTTCCCTCATTCCGTTTGTTCCTTGCCGAACCCGTAATTCCCCGGTCCATTCCAGATTATAATCTTTGCAATCGGTGAAACTGTAATCTTTATTCCCGTTTGTGACACTGTGAAGGCCTAAAATACGGGAACCAATCAGAAATGGATTCACATTGTCTTGACTCTCAGTATAAAGGGACTTTAGTATGCTAATGCGTTTAAATGGCGCACCAGCTCATCGATGTGTAGGCTTGGGGGAGGGGGTCCATTTTTAAAATAAATAAAGCTGTGAAAACTGTATTTTATGCTTTTAACGTAATGCGCGGGTAGTTTCGATCGTTTGTCTATAAGAAATTTCCTTAGCGGTAGAGTAATTCTTATCGAAATTGATCGTTGAAAATAAAAGAAGCCTAAAAAACGCGCCAGATGAGCTCAACGGTGGCTATCATTTTCGGGAAACGAAAAAACGCGTTTACGGTTTCCTTGGTAACCTTTTTTTGCTATCAGCTGATGTTTTATTTCCATTTCCCAGCCAAGTCGACGGAGTTTATACTTCCTTTCTCCACTAAATACACTTACTAACACCTGAGCGCTTTTCTAATACGACAGTATTAGAACTTTCCCGCTTGTTTTTCTTTGGACAGGCAAAAAGGATGTGTCCCATTAAGGAGGGTATTTTGGCCCTAAACTTTGGTCGAAAATTGAAACAGCTTAGAATAATGTCATGTGTGGTCAAATCGACTCAATCGAGCTGGGCGAAGGATACGGGCCGTAGTAAATGCTGTTCGGTGGGCTTCCGGTTGCATACCATGTCGGGCGTGGCGTGGGTTGGGATACACAACAGCGTGGCTTCTCCTCACGAGGTTGCTCTCCAGGGTGCAGTCTTTGCCTCGATTCGCGTTCTCTGGCGAGACCTGGATGAAAGCGAATGTTGATGTAAAATATGTGAATGATGTGTCCCATTAAGGAGGGTGTTTTGGCCCTTACTTTGGTCGAAAATTGAAACAGCTTAGAATAATGTCATCTATGGTCAAATCGACTCGTAATCATCTACCCTGTGAGAACTTGTTCTTACTTGAGGTGTTTTTCAAAGGTTTTTGCCTGATTTACCAGCGCAAAGTAGTGAAGTTTTGCAGTTTTCTTGGATAATTGCTCATTTTCGGTCCTGAATTAGATTGTTTATGTATGAGCGCAAGCGACTACCACTTCCTCCTTTAAATATGTTGTAATGGGTGTACTAAAGATTAACATATTTGAATATGAAAATGTTAGTCCCTTGAGCTCATACATAAACAATCTAATTTAGGACCGAAAATGAGCAATTATTCGAGAAAACTACAATAATTCACTACTTTGCGCTGGTAAATCAGGCAAAAACCTTTCAAAAACACCTCAATAAGGACAAGTTCTCACAGGGTAGATGATTACGAGTCGATTTGACCATACATGACATTATTCTAAGCTGTTTTAATTTTCGACCAAAGGTAGGGCCAAGATTCCCTCCTTAATGGGACACGTCCTTTACGAGGGAGATGCGCAAACAGTAGAGAGTCCCACTTTGGACGTTGAAAAAAAAATTGCGAAATCCAACAGAGATACTCGCCAAAAAGTTTTTCTTTTCCTCTTAAAATATAGTATCAGAAGTCTCATTATCAGCATTTGCAACTTTCTAGCTCGATTGCATTTTCCGAAAAAAATCTGCGAAATTGCCGAGATCGCCAAGAAGAGGAATCGATAAAACCACTTAAGTGCCTTGTGGGACCTATTAATTTTTAGCTACGACCCTGAGATTTTTTGTGATTTTTTTCTATAACCATGAGACAACTTTTTGGCAAGTATCTCTGTTGGATTTCGCAATTTTTTTTTTTCAACGTCCAAAATGGGACACCCTAGCAAAGGGGGTCTCGACACTAGTCAGAAGTTAGAACAAATAGTCGTAGCTAGTGTTGCACCGAACAGCGTATCTCTATGGAAAAAAATTATGCTCGGATGAGATTTTTCCCTCAATATTGATATTTCCAGTTATCTGGATTTTAACGCACGATGGCTACGTCTCCAACTTACTGTCGTTTAAGTCGTAAGAGTTAGAAGGTGAAGATTTTCCCAGGATTCAGGAAGCTCTGTTGTGAGAATTCATGTTCTTTGAGTTATGAGACCTTCGACATTCTCGGAGATTTTAGATGAGATTGTTGCTTATAGGGTGGGTTTTTAGTTGAGATCAAGTGACGAAGACAACTCATTTTCAGGGGATTCAAGCACTGAAAAAATGGATATTTTTGTTCGTTATTTTACACATTTTCGAGGTTTCTAGGGGCATTTTGAGGTTGAGGAAACGCCATACTCTGCATCTTCGCGAACTCCATGCACATATCCAATGTTCTTGTCTTGTTCAGTCTAAATGCACAAAATTTCAAAAATTGACCTCCTGGTGTGATAGACCAAAGAACTGTTGCCAGTCGTTTTCAATCATAATATTGGTGGAATCTTACCACTTCTGGTATCTTTCCTACATGCTGAGAGTTATATTCAAAAGTTAACTTTGAAATTTTCGCAATGACTTAATGTCTCCATGCCAACAATGTATCGTCATTGCTCCTGTAATAACATTGTTAGGGGGTGGGAAACACAAATGTTATGAAATGCATGGGAGCCCATTTTTCAATTTGCACTTCCAAGTCTGAACTTTCCGTCTCCACAGCCCTCGTCCATTGCGCGAGGGTCTGCATTCGTGCACGTCTGTGTGGGTGCAAACATACCCATTTTTCCGAGGAATTTTACACCATGAAATAAGTTTTTTAACATATTGTCATAAAAAATCGGTTCTCAGTAATTATTTTTGCTGTAACGGGTTTTTTTGCTTTCATTTTTTTCTTAATATTTGATGAGGATTCTGATTTAATACGCATGCGTGATCAGCAATTTAACTCTCCCCCTCTTGCCCGTGCTGCCGTGCGAAGGAAAATCGCCGTATGAACCTTCAGGCGTTGCCAAATTTCCTTTGCTAAAACACAAATTTCCTGGTAAACTTATGAATATTATCCTTCTAATTTTTCAGATAATTTTGATCGCAATTTTACCTAAAGTTCCTGAAAATTTCAAGGAGAAGTATTCTTAACTAGCCTCCAAAATAGACATTTTATAGAAGGAAATTTGGCAACTCTCGAATATTCATACGGCGTTCTTCTTTAGCACGGCAGTCACGGCAGTGTGGCACACATCATGAACACATTTACGTGCTTCCTTCACTCGTTTTTTTCGTACACCTCATATCACCAGTGGCGTGGCGTGTTTTGCGATATGTCGATTGATCTGTTATTTAAACCTATGGAAAAACTACTGGTGTTCCCCTACAACTGCACTGAAAAAAAAATCTCGGTGTATTTACTAAGAAAAGGGTAAAATTACCAAGAATTCAGGGTTCTATTTGATCCCAGTTTTTTCTTGGTAAAATTACCATTTATGGAGTTGGTAATTTTACCGAGAAATCTCGGTACTTTCTCGGTAATTTTACTAGACCCCGGTAAAAACGCCAATATTTTTTATCGACTGTGGTAGAATTACCGAGTTAAAATGGCAAAGTTACCGGGAATTGATTACCAATGAAAGTGGTATTCTTACCCGAAAAAAACAGTAAAGATACCGGTTTTTAGGTAAGCTTACCAGTCTGTCTTGGTAAAATTACCAATAATTGGTAAAAAAAGTGAGATGGTAGAGGTACCAACGGACCTTGGTAAAAACGCCGAGAATTTTTTTTCAGTATGCATTGGCGTTTGGACCGAGTTCATTAAAAGGGAACCAATCCACATTGAGTTGAAACCGAGAAAATGAGGTTGGGAGTTTTATCCATGCATAAGGCGTAATGCAGAAAATAAAGTTTAACATCTCTTTTCACGAACTAGTTAATTTTTTTCGACTTCCAGATTTTGACAGGAGAAAATAAAGTACTAGTGAAACTCAAAAACATTCTTAACTTAATTTTTTCGAAAATGTGGGTTGGTTCCTTTCTGATTAACTCAGTCTATTTATTACATGATTAAATGCATTTTTAATCGTGTAAATATTTTTTTTTCACTTCACTTCAATTTAAAAAGGAAAAAATACCTTCGGGCGTTTATATGGGCACGCTACTGCAACACTACTATGATGCAATTACCAACTTGAATCGATAATCATTTCGTGGTTAATATCTTTAATTCTAACGACTTTTTCGATAGAATGTAAAATTTTCAAATCTATCAGAGATGATAATTTTTTAAAGTATTAAATGTACTTTTTTGAAGTCTTATTTCAACATGAATTTCTAATCTGCCATGTTGACACAATTACAAAGAAAATAGTCTAACCTCAATCGTTTTGTTGGCATAATGATTAAAAAACACCCACAACTCAAAATTCGTAGGGTGACATAATAGTTTTCCTGACAAAATTTAAAGTCAATTTTTTTTTACGGAACTCGTCAAAAAAATTCTACGAAGAACCAGGAATTGCCCAAAAAATAACTTTACGGGTAAGCAATATAGTGTTGCAGTGACGAAGGGTAAATGATCGATTTATCGATATTTCCCCATTTTAAGCTATGGTGAAGAATCGATTATTAAGGTGTTCGTTGCAGCAGAGCAGTGCAATTTTTAGTCACAAAATATTAAGCATCTGCAATCTTCTCTTCAAAAACACGAGCTTTTGAAGAAAAAAAAACTCGTGAGGGCTCAACATCATCGATGCAAGAAAATAAATGCAAACTCGCACAGAGCATAAATCAATTTCCACAACATTTTAATCAAATATTCGCACTATTAACGGAATATTACAAACAACAACAAACGAAATTAGGAACAAAATAAGCTTATTATAGCTAAAATATATGAATCGTTCTTGGAACTATAAAATCATAAAGTACCGGAGTGAAATTAATCTCATAGGCAACGAAAATATTTCCAATGAACAAAAAAGCAACACATTTTCATATTTTTAGTGATTAGTATACAGCTTTAAATAAGGGAGGATTTTAAGTTTTACTCAGAAATAAGAAATTATGCAAATTATTCGGGACTGTATGGTTATTTACACAAAATTATATGATGTATTTAATTGCTCGAGTGTATGTGCCGCCAATGCTATTAATTAGGAAGGCTGAAAGTTCTGTAAAATTGTTCCCGCCCTCCTTACGTGGGGTTGGTACTTAGAGAAGCCCCCCTCCTCACAAGTGCCTCTTGTAATCAATGGCCTTCCTCAATCAAAAGTTGGTCAGTTGATATACAATTTATAATGAGTCGGTTGCACTGGCACCAACATTGTATTTTGATGCTCGATTCTTGTGGATTAGCTAAAAATAAAATCTGTCCAGACAGCAACATTCTACGTTGAATATTAACCAAGATTTCGTCCTTTGAAAAGTGGGGTTTTTGACGTCATCCATAGCGGTAGTTCATGACATGGTATGTACTGCCGCGGTTGATGACGTCATAAATTGAGTTTTTCAAGGCGCGATATCTCGGTTAATATTGAACGTAGAAAATTTCAGTTTGGACGGATCTTATTATTTTAAGTTGGTCTGCAAGAATAAACAATCAAAACACGATTCTGTGACCAGCGTAACTGGCCCATTAACAACTTCGGTTTGAGCGTGAAAAGAATTGCTACTCAGGAAAGCTTAAAAATCAGGATGAACAGATCGGAGGAGTCTGAAACTCATTCCTAGCTTTACAATCTGCAGAAGATACCTTTGAAGTTTTGAGCCTCATAAAGTGTACTGAAACAGCTAAATGATTGGATATAACGGTGTGAACGTGGTTTTAAACTGCAAATGAAGCCAAAACTTGCCGCCATCAGGTGGCACTATTCCTAAATTAAAATCAATTCACATAAAATATAACATAACATGAGACGAAACGTAAGATTACGTACCATTATTTACGTTCAGTGAGTAGAATTACTTTCGTCTTTGATTTTATTCCAGGAAGTGTGTCATAAAACGGCGGCCTTTCAAAGGTTTGCGTGGAGGTGTGAGATCAGAAAAAACTCGTCTGTGCCGATTTAAGTCTTCGCAGTGGTATACTTTTCGAAGCGGTGTGCTAAAAAATTTCTTTCGCAGACGTGCAACTAGGAGTGAATGTTAGACCTCTTCGATTCGATTGTTGTGATGTTTGAGCCACGAAATAACTCCTCCTTCTCACTCTGATAAAAAATGGCGATGAACATCGTATTTTTTCAAAACTTACCGTTCATTTACATATTTCTTCATTTTTTATATTCTTCTTCTTTTGCGCATGCAATAGTGGGAATCTTCAAGGCAGTGCAGTTCGTATATACTATCATACACATTTGGCTCTGTCTCTCCCTCGTATACATACTTCGAGCCTCTAGAGGCATACTCTGAAATGAGTTTTTTCAACTTATCCCAATAGCAATCTCTTTCACCTCGAGACCATTTGTCTTTGTAAACTTTACGTGCGTATCGGATTTCCTCTTTATCGGACTTATATCTGTAACCCTCTCTGTAGCAAATCATCGTCAAGGTGCCCATAGCGTGGTCAAGACAGTTGATGTCCAAAAGCAAATTTTTTTCAACATGGGATACTTGGGAGTTGGTCACAATGTCATGTTGAAACTGATTTTTCGTGTATCCATCTCTAAAACTCACCAAAGCGTGCAAACGTTCTCCCTTAATTTCCCCTGAATTGGTCTTCGTGTGACTAAGACACATGCTGTAGATTTTGATTCTTGGCTCGGAAAGAAAAGAATGGACAAATTCAGGCTTGATCATGGCGTGATACCAATTACCAAACAAATCACCATTTTCGTAATCTGCGACAAGAGTACGGGGAGACATTGCTTCGTATGCATCGTACTCAAGAAAGCTTTCGTAATCGAACCCACTGTTGCTATTGAAAAAGCTTAAATATTTTGGGTCACGCTCAATGCGGTATTTTGGAACCTGATGCACGGGGGCATCCCCGAGACACTTGCAGTGTCTACTATTGTGCAAATCAAAAACATCATCATAGTCACCTCCTCTCATTTCTATACTACCTTCGTCCCAACCGTCAAATATAAATTTTGAGCCAATTGACATTTTCTCAGAGATACTAGCTTTGATCCCTTTACACTCTGAACCCTCACTATGGAGCCACACACCATGTTTCATAACTATTTTTGGAACGCATAGTACTTTTAAACCATGCAGGTCAGGCTTACACACGAAACTGTGAAGGACTTTGGCGATGCTGTCGAGACAATGTAGTTTCTTCAGCCACGGTTTTTTATAAATAACATCCTCGGTGGAGTTCATGTATTTTCTCAGTCGACGGTGAAAATCTGACACTGTGTACGGGATTCTGAAGCTGATCAAAGCATGTAAGCGCGCTTGCTCCAATCTATGGGGCGAATAATATAAGCACAAGCTGTACACTTTCATGTGAGTTTCGGGTATGATTTGAAGGAAATCGCAGAAGTCAGCGTCGATCATCAAACGATACCATTCGTTGAATATTTCCGGGTATTCGAAATCCCGCGTAATCTCTCGTAGAGCGACTGGTTTGAAAGAACGAAAGTACTCGCTGCCCGCGAATTTCGCTTTACTGGGCAGCTCGAAGTCAGCTTGGCTCGATGGCATGATTCTGACGATTGCTAGTTCGTGTGTTGTTAGTTATGCGATCGAAGATTTCGGGTGGGTTGTATCGGAGGTAGCACTACTTATATTCGATAAGTTTGCAGCGAGAGTAAGGCCCGTACACCTTGAAAACTGTAGAAGAGATGATTTTTGAAGATTTGAAGTTGTGCAGCTTTTGGCTTCGGTGATAAAAACCAGACCAAGTTCGAGTGATTAAAACATGTGAACCAAATTTGAGTGAATCACGTCAATGTCAGTAGCTTAAACGATCCATCTGAAAGCATTCAGAAAAAATGCTGGTGTATAGGGTGTTTTAACTAATGTTCAATTATATCACTTTTAATTTTAGTTTTAGTGGTAATGTAGGTCCTTATACAGATTTCATCATGAAATGAATGAAATGTAAGTTTTTTGGAGAAGCGCGCCAGTCCGTGTGCTTTCTTAAGTCACAGCAAATCTTCAAGATGGCTGCCTTGCCACCACCTTCTGTATTTTCTCTATGAGAGTGACTTGCTTGGTCATTGTTCATTACGTGTGTTCGTTTTTTTTTTTTTTTGGAGGTTTTCTAACTTTTCAATCTATTTTCTTGATTCTGCGTGGTGCACGATTGATACTAAAGCTCTGTGTGATAACGCTTGTCAAGACTTTTCGGAAATGCGATGCGAATTAAGTGAAAATTGTCAGTTTTGGTAGTGCACTGAGCCCATAGTCTGTACTTTTGTAAGCTCGTTACCATTCACTTACTCAGTGGCGTGGCGTGCTTTACGATATATCGATTGATTTGCCATTTAAACCTATGGAAAAAGATCGATTATCAGGGCGTTCGCAGCGAACACCTTAGTAATCGATTCTTCACCATAGCTTCAAATGGCGAGATATCGATAATCGATCCTTCACGCCACGCCACTGCACTTACTCTCGCCCTCACGTGAATAACTTAAATTATAGAAAAGCAATTCATTACGCATCTTCCCACAGGGTAATTTACCGGCATGCCATAAGACTGATATTCTAGGTACGAGAATGTCTATTTAGTGCAACTTCATTTTGCCACCTTTGCTTTGCTCTACCATCATGAGATTGGATATATTTTTTATTCCATTTTAATCTAATCTCTAGCTTATAAATGTTTTCAACAGTGAGAAGTATTTATATTTCTGACATCCGACACCTCCCTTCTCTATTGCCAAAATAGCTGTCCGCCAGCGGAAACTATAAATCCATCCTGCCTGCGGGCCGATTATTGAAACTGATAGACAAAGCGATAGACAAAGAAGACATAGGGAGTATAGAGCGATCCTATTGGTTGACATGGTTGGTTCCTTTAGACTAAGGGAGAAAATGATGGACTAACTGTCGGGTCTTTGGTGGGTTGCCGTTAGTTAGTCCATTACCCACCTCCTATGTCCATTGCCACCACCCGCTTCCACCAATAGGATCCCTCCTAATTGTCGTATTTGTCTATAGCTTTGCCTATAAGTTTCAATAATCGGCCCGCAGTCTGCGGTGATTATCGCTAAAAGCAAACATTGGTGCTGTGAATAATCTCTCAGATTCCATACCCACACCAATTCTAAGGCGCTCAGTGTTACGCTGATAGAGGTTTTTTGTGTGAATCTCGCTTCAGTTTGCTGAAGGGAAGACCTAATTTTAACAAGTGTGACAATTTTCGCCATATGCTCCTTTCCTTTCTCAGTCAGTGAATTATTCATCACTCTCCTAAAATTAAATTGTTATGAACTATCAGCAAAGAAGTATGTGCCCGTTTTAAAGAGAAAAAAAGAAAAAAACCTAGGCCAAACATTGACACAAGACGTTCATCTACTGTTTAAAATTTTGCTGGCACGTTTCTCTTTTCTTCTTTGGAGGTGAATCTTTAGCTGTAGTTCCGAAAAAATCCGCCACGTCGCGGATGGCGGCGACGCGCAGAGCTCCGGCTGTCCAGCTCGTAATAAGTAGTGGCGAGTGCGCCTGCGCATGCTGCCCACGGCGCGTGAGGCCGCGAGTTACGGTTTTTGGTGTCCGTAGCACTCCGCGTCGTTAGAGCCCGTAGCTCTCCGCTAGTCACGCGCGCAAGCGCACGGTAGTGCTATTTTTATATATATAGCAATAGCAATCAACAACAATACAAATTAATCATAAAAAAAATGAATTAAGAAATTAATAATTAATCAATTAATTATTAATTTAATCCTACAAATGTAATAACCATGAAATTAGACTTATATAGCTAGCTACATATAGCCCGTTCACTCCATGATCAGCCTCCACTTTTTCAACCTGGCCTCCACCTCAGGCCTCCTTTTTTTTCTTAAAACACCTGTGGACGTAAATTTTGAGCCAATAGAAATTGTCTTATAGATACCCGCTTTGATATTGGAACATTTTAAACCCTTACTATGGAACCAAACACCAGCTTGAATATCTATTTTCGGAACACATAGTACAGAACCATCCAGGCCAGGCCCACACACGAACTTGTGCAGGACAAAGGCGATGCTGCAGAGACTTTTTAGTTTTTTCAGCCAGGGTCTTTTATAGGAAATACCCTCGGTGGAGTCCACGTATTTCTTTAGTAGACGCTTAAAATCAGTCACTGTGTACGGGTTTCTGAAGCTGATCAAAGCATGTAAGCGCGCTTGCTGCAATCTACGGGGCGAATAATATAAGCACAAGCTGTACACTTTCATGTGAGTTTCGGGTATGGTTCGGAGGAAATCGCAAAAGTCAGCGTCGATTATCAACCGATACCACTCGTTGAAGATTTTTTTCGAGTATTCGAAATCTGGCGTGATCTCTTGAAGGGCGACTGGTTTGAAAGAACGGAAGTACTCGATACCCGCGAATTTCGCTTTACTGGGCAGCTCGAAGTCAGCTTGGTCCGATGGCATGATACTGACGACTGCTAGTTCGTGTGTTGTTAGTTCTGCGATCGAAAAGTTCGGGTGGGTTGTATCGGAAGTAGCACTACTTACATTCGATGAGTTTGCAGTGAGAGTAAGGTCCTCACAAGTCGAAGAAATGATTCCCGTATAGCTTAAAAACTGTAGAAGAGATGATTTTGGAAGATTTGACGTTATGCAGCTTTATACTTCGGTGATAAGAACCAGACCAAGCTAGAGCGATTAACCACGTGAACTTCAGCAGCTTAAACGATCCATCTGAAAGCATTCAGAAAAATTGCCGGTGTATAGGGTGTTTTAATTTGAACACTGGTAAAAAAAAAAAAAGTAGGTTGGATCTTGAGTCCAGACTCATAAAAACATTGACAAGAGAAAATACTCTTGATTCAACTGGAAATCCGCTTAAAGCAAGAGGCTTGGCTCTTCGATTCAAGGAAAAATCCGATTGAATCAAGAGTATTTTTTCTTGTCAATGTTATTAAGAGGCTAGACTCTTGATCCAAGCTACTTTTTTACCAGTGAACGAGTTTTTTAAAAAATAACGCAAAAATTGAACGGTTCGTGTAAGATACAGTAGCGGCTCCCATTTTCGTTGTTGGAGATCTCTATAGAGTACCTAGATCTCTATAGGCTTGACGTGGTCGCTACCGCTCCTAGTAATGCCAAAAAGAACTGAGCGAAAATACATTATGCACTATTGGCAGGATACATATTTCCCTTACATTTGGACCACGTTAGGCAGAAAGGAACTAAGCCACATAATCTATTGCCAAATTTAAACAAGCAATTTGATTTTTTACATGAATATGGTCGTGTGGATTTTTTTTTTTTTTTGCAATTTTCGGTGAATTTTCTGCACGGTGCGAGACAGATTCGTTAAAATTTTCGGAAGAATTCGCTAAGACATTCTCTCGTAATAAATATAATTGCCCAGTTAAATTCAGCAATGGCTGATGCGGCTTGGTTCGTTTCTGCTAAACGCGATCCATTTAACAGTGGATACTTTATTATTCCGTATTGCATATGCACGGAAAAGAAGGCGTTTCGACTTCGGAAAGTAATTGCCGCACCAGCGGCCGGCGCGGCGCACCGCCCGGCGCGCGGGCGGGAAGGAGGGAGTGATCTTGAACTTGGCACACCGGAGGTGTCCCAGAGCCCACATGTTCCCACTACTTGAGTCTTAAAAATACTTACGGAAAGACATTTTACGCAGAAAAAAATTGGTTCTATTTTTTTTTTATTTTTAAATTTTTGAGAATCAGGAAAAGCTAGGTAAGGATGAATAGCGACAGCATCGTCGAGGATTTTATGAGCAGCACAAAAAAATTCAGTGAAATTTTCGGACAACTTCGTAGAACGATTGCTCTGTTAAAAAAATAAAATGGCGGCAAAAATGTCTGAACTTCGCAAAGCGCTTGTGATACTTTTGCCGAACGGTGACAATACCTACGCTCTGTACATTTGAGGAGCCATTGCATTAACTGAGTTTAAAATTTATCGGAATTTAAATGCATCCATATTTGAATAAACTACTCAAGTTCACGGAAATTAAAATTATTTGAGGTTGGATTAGAGACAGTCCTAACTTGAACATAATTAAAAACACAACTAGGTACGTACAAAGTATTAGGTAAAAAATAGAACAACCAATCATTAAAATCCTATTTACTTGACTCCTTTTTTAATTTAATTCATTTTCGCACCGTTCTCGCAGCACACATTCTTAAATATTTAAGTAAAATCCAATTGAAAGAGCAGTCATTATTATTACCTGCAAAAATACGCTCAGGAAAACACTCTATAAAATCATTCGTATTGATGATGACAGTCAATATGTTTTCAATTCAATTCAATGTAAATACTCTATTAGTAAAGAACACTACGGAGTCAATGAACTAGGAACTCGTACCCGCACACAAAGACACACAACTTTCATCCGATATGAAACGGTGTTTACAGTTATTGTTTACTAGGAGCGATAGAAGTTAGGACACGTCTACTTGAGCCGCTGCAAGCTACAAGTATACAGAGGAGCGCGTAGTTCGGAGTTGGAGTCGCGCCAATTAAGTTTTGTTTTTGCCACTGTTGCCGAACGTCCCAACTGATTACCGTTGGGGACTGGGAAAGGTTATCAGAACGGAGGGAAAAGGGAAAGTTCTGTGATAGCGGTGGCGCTGCGCGGTTTGAGGCGAAATGTGGGGGGCGCCGGAAGGTGGAGGAGTGGGAAGAAGGGGGAGGGGAAGGGGGAGACTGCCTCATCGCGACACGACGCGCAGTGGCTCGACTTAGGATGAAACTTGATCAACTTGAGTCTCGGTCTCGTAAATTTTTTTTTTTATCCTTGGTTGCTTTTTTTGCAGCCATTTCCCAAATTAAGTTGATTTTTTATTGTGTGAATTTTGGCTGATTAAGTGGTTAAAAACTATTTAGATTTAGATAATTATCTTATCTGGATTACTTGAAATTAAAATCGTTGGGATAACGTGTAGGATGGAAGTATTTTTATGTTTTGAGATGAAATCCCTAATTTTTAGGATGGATTTTTTAAAAATCCCGTGAGTTATAATATACAATATAGAAATTCTATATATAGTGATCTTGTAAATATAAATATTATCATGATTACTTTAGCAGTTCTTGATCAGTTTATTATTGATTTAAAAGAAACAAAATTCACCTATAATGTTGATCGAAGGGGGTACGGGAGAATTTCCTTTACACGTAAAAAATCACATGACTGCTGCTGTAGGAATCATTGAAGGTCGGGTATGAAATGTTCGACTTAAATGAGTTGCAAAGTTTGATGTTTATTCCCCCACCTGCTAAATTTTAAGAGGTGCTACTAGAAGAGAATCTCACGAGGAGATCAATGAAACGATTAGGTAACATCGCGTCCTAGATATTGGACTCCATGCTCACCCTTGATATACTTGCCTGCTCATCTCGTCCAAGATCTTGGACTCCATGTTCATCGCTGAACTTCTCACTTCTCTGCTTGAGCATGGAGTCCAAAAGTAAACAGACCTCTCTTAGTTTTAAAGTTCATCATGATAGAAAATCGTATACTTCGCTTATCTAATCTAACTTGAGCTAACTTAACCTTGCCTCACCTAAACTAACCTAACCTAAGCAATGCACACTTTTTTTTCAAGGACGCATTTTTCCTCCTGTATTTCACAAAAATTGTCTTAATAAGTTTTTGGACCCTATACTCGTGTACTGTTAGAGTATACCTGCATTCCACAATTTTGGACATTATCCCTAATTGAAGTCGTCACCTTCCAGGCAAAGTATCACAAGCGCCATGCGACGTTTAAAAATTTCCGCCGCCATTTTATTTTTTCACAGAGAAATTGTTCAACGAAGCTGTCCGAAAATTTCACTGAATTTTCTTTGTGCTGCCGATAAAATTTAGTGAAATTTCCTAACAGATTCAAACAACAATTTCTCAGTGAAGAAATAAAATGGCGGCGGAAATTTTTAAACGTCGCATGGCGCTTGTGATACTTTGCCTGGAAGGTGACGAAGTGAGCATGGATTCCAAGATCTGGGACGTGATGAACAACCGAACATTGTATAGCTGAGCATGGAGTCCAATGGGCCTGTTGCATGCAAGAGATACAGCCGCGCGAATAGACTTTTTAGAGGTTAAATAACACGAAAATTACGATGGTCACATTGAAAAAGTCTGAAATACATTCCTTACTGCGCAATTTGCGTTGTTAGGAACGCGCTTTTTCAAATTTCCCGCATCTGGGAGCAGTTTTCTAATCACCGGAAACGAGCAAACGGCGGGCTCGATGATTTCCGGAAGATGCCGAGTCGTTGTTGTTGTTGTTATTTTTTCCTTCAGTTAGTTTACAAACCCAACGTGATCTCCTATAATGGTCCATATACGCTTTATGCGGTAACCAAATCGATCAACTTTTAAATATCCAACGCAATCCTTCTACATTTCATTTCACGATGTCACGAGCTCCGATTTTTGGGTTATATTGTCAGCTTTAGTTGACCGGAAATAGCCGCGAGTTGCCGTTAATTGTTTCCGTTAGAAAACTGCCCCCAGACGCGGGAAATTTGAAAAAGCGCGTTCCTGACAACGCAAATTGCGCAGTAAGGAGTGTATTTCAGACTTTTTTAACGTGACCATCGTAATTTTCGTGTCATTTAACCTCTAAAAAGTCTATTCGCACGGCTGTATCTCTTGCATGCAACAGGCCCATTTCATGGACGCAATGCTACAATACCGATGGAACAACTTTTAAAACCTCAAAGTTTCGTGTAAATGAAGTTAAAAACTCTTCGGGTTGCAGCATTTTGTCCGATGTCTCCAATTTACCAGATCTACCGTGCGGCGGTCGGTCGGCATGCAACTGGTTGACAGGGGATTGGAAATACGCGCGGTGGCGATAGGGTCGACGGCATTTTGACTTGGAAATATACATTTCTTGCGGTGCATGACACGCAGAACACGGTGAGCGCAATAAAACCGGGTGAAAAAAACTCTGAAAGAGTCTTTGTTCGGCTTGGCTCCGGCTACGCCCCAAACCGAGCACTGGAAAAAAACACATTGGATCTAGAGTCCAGACTCTTAAAAACATCGACAAGAAAAAGTACTCTTGATTCGATCGGAATCTAGCTTAAATCAAAAACCAAGCCTCTTAATTTAAGCGGATTTCATTTAGATTTAAGCTTAAATCTGATTGAATCAAGAGTCCTTTTTCAAGAGTCTTTTGTCAATGTTTTCAAGAGACTGGACTCTAGATCCAATGTGTTCTTTTTTTCCAGTGTACCCTCTTCTAAGGTAAAATCGCAAAAAATCGCGTTAGGCACGTTAATAAAGTCTGAAATCCATTCCTTAGTGCGCAATCTGCGTAGTTTATAACTGGGCAGGTTTTCTTTTTTCTAGGTTCGCACGGACACAAGAGGAGTCAGAAAAACAAATCTGAGTGAACAAACGATCCTAAAAAAACCCAGACACCCAAAACCCTTAAGAGTCCAGACTCTTAAAAACATCTACAAGAAAAAGTACTCTTGATTCAATCAGAATCTAGCTTAAATCAAGAACGAAACCTCTTAATTTAAGCGGATTTCATTTTGATTCAAGCAAAAATCCGATTGAATCAAGAGTTTTTTTGTTGTCCATGTTTTTAAGAGCTAGTCTGGATTCTAGATCCAATGTGGTTTTTTTTTTTTTTTTCCAGTGAATGATACCGATCAGAAGCAAACACGGGTTTCTGAAATTTTAATCAAACGTTTTCTGGCTCTACGTACAGGAAAATAAGAGGACGGACATGATAAAAATAGCCCCGGAATCAAATTCAAGCGAATCTTGTCCGCGTTATTAGAAAACCAAGGTTCTACTACCGTGGAATCCCGTGTGACACTATTACCGTGGAAATTGCAGAACGNGGGGGGGGGGGGGGGGGGGGCTTCCCCTTGGACAACTCTAAAAAAGTATTTTTTAACCGTCCATTTTTGTAGTATCTAAGTGTATAAAATGGATCATTTTCTACACCGGTTGGCCAATGAACGCGGACTGGCTCGCATCTGAGGGCGTAGACCCTTGGCTGGTTAAAGGGGCGTAATGTGATATTTCCTGGTAGGGCATTCCCTACGTGGAGAGGGGTTCAGAAAATTTTGGCAAATCAGCACAAGTTTACGCTATTTTCAGGTTGAAAGTTTATTGATCTCACGGAGTGAAAATTGCAAAATTGAACGTGAAGCACAGCGTTGAGAGCTCACGCTTCACGTCATCGCGCCTTCAATTTTTCAGATGCAGCACGGGCGACACGGGCGTCCATCAAGTACGAATAGTCGTATCTCTGCGCCGTCGTGAACACGCATTCTTTCCCTCCCTCTTTTTCCATATTGTGTTTGTTTCCGTGGGTCTTATTCGTAATGGTGCTTCAAGCACTACGTGAGTAATACAACCGAATGTAGGAGAGATGTCTTCAGGCATTTTTTTAACTTTTCTCCCGAATCAGAGCGACGCTTCATTGACAGCATAAAGCAGAGCATTGGGAGCTCACACTTCGCGTCATCGCGCCTTCAATTTTTCAGATGCTGCACGGACGTCCGTCAAGTACGAATAGTTGTATCTCTGCGCCGTCGTTAACACACATCCTTTCCCTCGCTTTATTTCCATATTGTGTTTGTTTGCGTTTGTCTTATTTGTAAACCTAGAGCAGAGCATTGCGAGTTTACGACTCACGGCATCGCGTCTTACATTTTTCATATGCAAAGTGGACATCCATCTTGCGCGAATAGTTGTATTGCGTTCACATTTTAGATGTCTCTTATTTTTGAATTTCGAGATAAATTGGACTGCATTTTGCAATTTGGAACCATAAATTCCGGCTCCTCTGGAAAAACACTTATGTGCATAGGGAAACTAATGGCACATACGTTGTTTTTAAACCGGGCTGGAATTTATAGTTCCAAATTGCAAAATGTAGTCCAATTAAGGTTAAGTTTGCCCTAGCTATGCTATGGTATGTCCAAATCAATAGTCATTTGAAAAGGAGGAAGTATGTTTAAAGGTCTCTTAGGAGGTCCATAAAGGATGCGTATGTCTAAAAATCGAACCGACCATCGCCTCTAAGGGAGTTACACATAGCGAATGAAAGAGGGGGATGATCAAGCGCCTGCATGTCCAGAAAAAGGTGAAAATTTCACAGAAAATTATTTACGCTTCAGAAAGTAGTTCTTGGGCCTCTGTTCACCACTATCATGCGTTAAAGCACCTTTCTTTACTCCTAACTCTCTCTTTTTCCGTTCATTTAAGAAATTTTTCTCATATATTCTCAGTCGTAATTTTTTTTACCTTTTTGCTATCTCTAAGAAGGGCGCGTTTTCGGCGCGCAAACGGGGCGTATCTGGCAATGGCAGATTGGCCTTACGGCCAGTCCGAGCCTGCATATGCATATAAAAGACGTAAATGGTTCGAATGAATAAAATGAGAAATACTTATCGAATTGAAAACAAGTTTTATTGTACATGGTGCTCCGGAAAAAGGATGTCGGAGGAATCGGAGGTATCTGCAAAGATTCGCTCCCCTGATCTACGTTCTCATTGCTGAAAACTTATTTAGATACACTTGGAAGATTAACTTCCTTAAATCTGAACTTCTCATCCATGATTCAATCGGTACCATTCCATCTGACTAAATTAGACTATACTTTAAAATAAAAAATAAATTAATTTGGTTAACAGAGTTCTTACAATTTAATCGATACCGATATGCAAATATTTGACTGCATACCGTGAATCGATCGACAAAATCCGTGACTTGATCAACAAAACCGTGATTCGATCGAAGAACCCGCGGATCCCTCGAATTTTGTAGATCGAATCGGTGCTGATTGAATCACGTTGAACGGTTCACGTTTTTATTTTCTGTTAAATTCATGTTGATCGAATAAACACCGTTTTTTTTTTTTTTAATATTTCGTAGATAGAATCGGTGTCGATCGGTTCACGTTTTTACTTTTCGATCGATGGACCACTAGACAAGGTACGAATTTAAGCATTCTGATACATGGTTCTTAACCAGAATTTTACGTAGAACATGATTCGCGCAACGAAAATTACTGAAACCAACTCCTAACGGAGATATTAACATTTTTATTTTACCTTGGTTACAAGGAATTTGAACTACCCACTCACAAGAAACTCAAAGCTCTACGTGAGTCAAATCGCGCACTACAACGGTTTCAGCAAGCTTCTCAATCGAGCAATGTTCATTTCACACCATGTGCTTTTCAAACTATAAGTGATTTGCTATAGCTGAGCCAAAGCGTCAAGATTGAGGTTGCCAGATTTTTTATCGTTGAAACTGTCATGATAACGTTTAGCGCGCTATGTGAATCACGTACAGTATTGAGTTTTCATGAGCGGGTGCTTTTAATTCACGCACCAAGAATCATTAAATATCTTCGGAAGGAGTTGATTTCGGTGATTTTCGTTGTGCGCATCGTGTTTTACGTGAGATTTTGGTGAAGAAACATGTATCAGAATGCTGAAATTCGTACCTTGTCTAGTGGTCCATTCAAGACGCCGGTTTTATAATATTTTGTCAATCGGTTCGCGTCGATCGAATAGACACTGTCGACATACGTCACCTTCCAGGCAAAGTATCACAAGCGCCATGCGACGTTTAAAAATTTCCGCCGCCATTTTATTTTTTTACAGAGAAATTGTTCAACGAAGCTGTCCGAAAATTTCAATGAATTTTCTTTGTGCTGCCGATCAGATTTAGTGAAATTTCCAAACAGATTCAACGAACAATTTCTCAGTAAAGAAATAAAATGGCGGCGGAAATTTTTAAACGTCGCATGGCGCTTGTGATTCTTTGCCTGGAAGGTGACGATATTTTCATCAGTGCACTCACTTTTTGCAGCTCCGCCGCAGCTTTCAGAGCCGCAAGGGGATGCCCCCCGAGGACCGGACCCCTCCCATCCAGGAGCTGAAGAAATTCGTGAAGCTGATGATGAACAAACTCCTGGACCCGTGCACCCTCCTCGCACACACCTCCACCCCGCAGGAACGAACCACCATCAACAACACCTGCAGGTCGTTCTGCAACTTCATCAGCCTGGCAGTGGACCTCCTGGGCACCTGCTCCGTCCGCGACTGCACGAGCATCAAGGACGGCGTTTGCGACCGCCGCGGCGTCTGCATCTGCGGCCGGACGCTCGGGATGACGTCTAACCCGATCTGCCGACGCCCGGTCAAACTCCTCTTCTGTAACAATCGCTTCAGGTTGAAGATGAACAGGGTCGAGTACGACAGGTCGCCGAAGAAGGACCGACAACCGTTTTCACCTGTACCGGAGGAGGCGCCTTTGTCTCTCGGGCATTTTAGTCATATTAACCCCATGCAGTGGGCGGTGATGATGAGAGGCAATCGGAATAGGACACCGAGTCGTAGCCAGTCTCCGAGCTCTGGGAAAAGCTCGGGTGGTAGCTCTGGCCCTAGCGCTGGCAGTAGCCCAAGTGTTAGTGATAGCCCTGGTGCGAAGGATACACACTGTTAATCATTTTCTCACAGACCCTGGTAAAAAGTGGCGATAAGAGCTGCGTTTCAAAATACCATAGGAATTTTTATAGCCGCTAAAGAAGGATACAGAAAATCATATAGCTGGCTGTAGAATGCGGAGCATATCATACGGCCGGGTTATTCGAAGCGATAAAAAATTATACAGCCGGGATATAGTTCCTATCGCCGGGCTTTACACTTTATCGCCTGGCTGTTGCTTTTTCGCCTTCGATTATGAACGGCTATAAGAAATTGTGTGGAAATTCGTGTGCTTTGGAAATCAGTAAGTTTAGTACGGAACCACCTCAATATTTACAAAACACATATTATATTTTCCTTTAATACATATTTTTTTTTCCATCAATTAAAATGAGAATAATCCATACAGGATGTGCAAACATTTCAAAATCATGAGTTGAATGGCGCTGACTCCAACAGATTAAATATTAGAGCCTAACACAAAGCGGAGCGGCGACGCACTGGCGCCTGCAAACCTAACAGGGATACTTCACACATTGCGCAACGCGTGAAGTATCCCTGTTAGGTTTGTAGGCGCCAATGCTCGTTTTGCGCTGCGCTGGCTGCCCGCCTGCCGCGCCGCAGCGTGCCACCACGGCGCTTGAAGCAACTATTTCACACCAGAGGTATTGCACAGTTTGATACGAAACTGAAGGCGCTCTAATATATTAGGAATGGCAGGCATCCATCAAAAGCACGGAGCTTTCCTCGCAAAATAAATCAAGATACAACGGCCCGAAAAGAGAGCAGTAGTCCAAAAACTCACCAAGTCCTGGCACCCGTAATTAGTAACGTTTAGCATACACTTTATCGCCTGGCTGTTGCTTAATCGCCATCGGCTATAAAATGCTATAGGAAATTGTGCAGCCAGCTAAAGAACCTATTGGAAATCTTACAGCCGGCTGTAGGTCTATGGTATTTTGGAACACAGATTCTGCTGCCAATTTTTACCAGGGGAGGAAAGAGGTTGGACATAAAAAACATTGATGGAAAAAAGGAAACAAATGAACCTTCAAAAAGAAAATTCTTTAAAGCAAATTGTAAATCGGAAAATAAACCTTTATGTATTACACTACACGTAAAAAAAGAGGTAGGGGTTATGTCCGAACTGTTGGATGATATGGACATTTCCAATTAATTGTGGTATTAACCCGATTTATCGTGATATTACCCCAATTAATTGGGTTACTAACCTAAAGGTTGCGTTACTACCCCAACTTGAGTTGTGATACGACCGAAATCAATTGAAAATGTCCATATCATCCAACAAATTGGGGTAGTACTACAATTTTAGGGGATAACCCCTGACATTTTATTTTATCCGTGTAAAAAATTACTAAATATTCACAAAATGTCATAAATTAGATATCAAGAAAATACCAAAACAAGCACGATGTAATACAAATCAAAAAGGAAGATAAATTCGAAAAAGCTTCCAATAAAAAGGAAACGTTACTAACGATGGAAATTGAATTAATACCCCTTTACAGTAAGAGTAGTTAACCAAAATATTGTTTTCAAGGAAAAAAACAGTTTAATTTGAAAAGCGTGTGTGACAAACCGCATGCGTAAACTCCCACGCGAAGAGGTGCGCAAACGGGTCGATTTTTCTCCTATTCCGTAATGGAGATGTTGCATGTGTGAGGGATTTGCAATTTGACCATTGATACATACATACATAAAGTCGCTTTTATAGCGCCGCCTCGCGCTCTGCGACGCCCAATCGCCATTGCCCCCTATCCTCCCAGAGATCATCAGGCAATTGGCACCTTCTGATCTCCTCCTCCACCCCTTGTCGACAACCTTTCACAGGACGTCCACGCCGTCGCCTTCCGGGAGGAACCCAATCGAAGACCTGCTTGGACAACCGGTCGTCTGCCTTCCTTCGCACATGTCCATACTAGACCAACTGCTTGGACCTGATATCGTGCACGATGTCCTTCTCCACACCCATGATCTCGCGTACTTTAACCATTCGCGTTCTTTTGACCATTGATTCTTATGTAATAGTTTGCGAGAAACACGATGGCGCCGCGGATTTTCTCTGAAATCATCTCCCGAGATCAAAGAAAGCTCTCAAAGTGAGGCCAAAATGGAGGGGATGGATATCCCAAGACGACCCTCCCTGCCGAGATACGGCAAACGAGTTTCACCGAAAAACCTTCAATTTTCTGCACAAACCACAAACCGTTGGGAAGCTGTTTGTGAGGTTATAAACACATTTTTGATAACATAGATAAGGGCTGATATGCTGATAACAATAGTGCAATCATGAAAGAAATAGACTATTTCTTTCATATTTCATGAAATAATTAATTTTTTCTTAGCCAGATTAGTTCGGTACTAGAAATTCAAATTCAAAGCTATTCACTCGATCCAGGTTCTCTAATTTTCGTGTCATTTTCATAGTTCTGTCGTCAAAAGTTCAAAACTTGGAAAATCTGTTTAAGTTGTACTTATCCCTATTTATCGCATCGTGTTTCTTTTACAGCCAATTAGTATCAATCAATTTTTTGTTCTTTACGCTCAAACTGTATAGTACTTGAATTTTTATCATACTGTTTGATGAGTGGATAAAAATTGAGGAGTTGAATCATCGGATTCTTCAGAAAGAAACATCTT